GACCTGGAAAGAAGCTCCTGGCTCCTGGCTTTGGCCTGGCCCAGTTCCAGCCATTGTGGCCATTTAGGGAGTGAACCAGCAGATGGAAGATTTCTCTCTCTCTCTCCTCTCTGTATCCCTGTCTTTCAAATAAATAAATATTTTTTTAAAAAGAAAAATGCTAAGGGATGGGTCAAGGGAGGTACAGCTTTTGAGGCTGGACACTGAATGGGCTTCAGATGTAGACTCCAGTAACTAGAAATGAATATGTGAGGGTAGAGAGGGCATTCAAGAATTATGTACCCAAATCTTTGCATTTCCCATGTGTTAGCTTAATATCATGAGTGCTCATGACCTATTTTTAAGAGATCCTTCAATTTTATATTTTAGGAGGGAAAAGAGCCATTCGTCTTCCAGTCAGGCCAGCACATTGAATAGACATAGGGAAATGCGAGACAAACTAGAGTATAATTCTTAAAATACAATGATTTTAAAAGATTCTCTCTGGACTCCACTCTTTACCTGCCATCCTGTTTACATTATTTCCTGCACAACAAAATTTCTCAAAGAGGTTTTCTCTCTATACACAATGTCTTCAATTCCACCATTGTCTTTTAAATCACCTACAATCAGACATTATCCGCCCATACTCCTGCATATTCCATCAAAATTGTTTCCAAGTTCAGCAATGATCTAAAGGGCCTAAGTCTAATGAGCACTTATAAATAAACCTAACTAATCACTACCTCCTCCTGGAAATAGTTTCTTTCCTTTGCTGAACTCCTACCTCACAGTCATTGCTGCTCAGTTTCCCTTGCTGAGTCCTCCTCTTCTATCTCTTTATCTTTGGGTGTACTCCAAGGTTCAGTCTCTGGCCCTTGTTGCTATCTACCTAGGTGAGCTCATCTAGACTCAACAGCTTTAAGAGCATCCACGTTAGGGCTGGCATTGTGGCGCAGCAAGTTAAGTCTCCACCTACAGTGCTGACATCCCATATTAGTGCCAGCTGGAGTCCTGGCTGCTCCACTTCCCACTCAGCTCCCTGCTAATGTGCCTGAGAGTGCAGTGGAGGACAACCCAAGTGTTGGAGCCCCTGCACCCACAAGGGAGATCTGGAAGAGTCTCCTGGCTCTTGACTTTGGCCGGCCAGGCCCCAGCTGTTGCAGTCATTTGGGGAACAAACCAGCAGATAGAAGATCTCGATCTCTATCTCTCTCCCTCTCCCTCTCCCACTCCCACTCTCACTCCCTTTCTCCCCTCCCCACCCCGTAACTCTGCCTTTCAAATAAATAAAAAATATTTTTTAAACAGTTACAAGAAGAGGTCACTAGGTCCATTGAGACCTCAGCTGATGCCATTTGAGGTCTCCAAAGCCATATCACCTCACTAACAGGCATGGTACTATGGAACAGATGTTATGGAACACAAAGTGTTGTTATTATGTTAACCAATCAATCAGGTCAGGCAAAACCACACCCATCAAACAGTTTTCTCTAGGGTTCAGAGACCACCCCCCATCATTTCCTCTCCCCTATGAAATCCTCTCGTTACTTGGTTAATGCCACTCCTGGGAACATTGGCTGCTATTCTCACCCTGTCTCTTATACTACCGTGTCTGTTTAAGTGTTTACAAGAGGTGATAATGGAATGAATCAAAGCCTTCATCAACCAGGCAGTCAATCAAATGCTGCTACAGGGATATACTTGGCTCCCCACCCAGGAGATCACAGCTTGAGACATCACTCCATGCCAGTGAAGAGTAACTCATCACCCCATATCAGCAGGAAGTAGCTCTAGAAGACAGATCATCGTCCCTCTACCTCTCTTGGACTTTTGGGGCCAATGCATCCCATACAACACCTGCTTTATAAAAAACATGTGGCAGGGGCCCATCGGGGTCTCCCGCATTGGTGCAGAGTCCCAAGTACTTGGGTCATCTTCCACTTCCTTCCCAGGCACATTAGCAGGGAGCTGGGGAACAAAAGCAGCCAAAACCGCTCTCCCAGATTGAATCAGCGTTTACCTTCTTTGACTACTTATTTTAGACACTTACACACATACTTGTTGAATGAATAAACAATTAAGTGCCCATCACATGTTTAATATAATTGAGACACATGGATTTGGATGGGAAAGAAATCTGAAACACATGCAAGCTCCAAATCTGCCAAACATGCCTGTTTAGTGCACAGCTGAGAAGTCAGCAATTTCTAGGGATGGATGGCAAACGTCAAGTAGCTGATAACATAAGTTACCTAAACCCATCATTAAGAGCAAGTACTTGGACAGCCAATAGGAAGGATTTGCTTTGGATTGGCATCAACACTACTACATTAGCCATTGCTGCCCATATAGTGATGTGGTGGTTTTGT